ATCTATCTATCTATTTATCTATCTATCTATCTATCTTATCTATCTATCTATCTATCTATTTATCTTATCTATCTATCTATCTATCTATCTAATCTCTATATCTATCTAATATCTATCTAGCACCTATATTCATTTATCTAATCAATATCTATCTAATCTCTATATCTATCTAATCTATATCTATCATCTATCACCTATATTCATTAATCTATATCTTTCTAATCTGTATATCTAATCTATATCTATTTATCATCTTATCACCTATATTCATTTATCTAATCTATCTATCTATCAATCTTGAATTGCCACTACAGCAGGGTATATGATGTCCCCTCTCCCAAAATTTGACTTTTACTTGTATTCCTTCCTTTCTCCTAAAACCTAAGCTGTTGCTAGCAAATCCAGAGCTGTTAAATGTATATATACAGGTTCGATTCCCAGTAAGGGTATGGCTAGCTGATCAGAGCTAAATAGCTTGAAATAGATCTATACTAGTCTCCCTTTATTTATTTATCAGCACAAATACAACATATATATATATGTATGTATGTATGTATGTATGTATGTATATATGTATATATATATAATATAAATATATAAATATATAATATAATATATATATATATTCAGGTTTTTTTTAAAATCATTTCTGGTCCTGCTTTGGAAGGACTTCAGCTAAAACATCTGGGCTCCCATTTTCTCCTTGCTGTAATTGACCGGCTGTCTTGTTTCCTTTAGACTGTCCGGTTCCTGAAGAATTGCACCCTGGAGATCGGCGTGAATGAGTGCGACCAGTGGGAGCTGACGAAAGAAATTGTCTGCCGGCATTTCCTCCGAAATGTAAGTTTTTACGTCCGTGGGACTCTCCCGAGCTGGATGGTTTTCCTTGCAGACGTTTCATAACCCATCAAGGGAACATCATCAGGACTAGAAGGGTGTGGGGGGTTCCTCTTATTTTTATATACTGGCTGTCAGCTTTCCCAATAGCATCCAAAAATTAAATCAGAGTCCGAGGCAAAGAATTCCTCAAAAGTTCCAATTTATTAAGAGAGCCACGTTGGCACAGCTGGGGAAACCCGGATCTGAAAGCTTCCCGGTTCTCCCCACCCAGTTGGAAGTTCAAGATCCTGCCCCCACCCACCCACAATCCCATCCCACGGTCCAATCGTCCACTGCCACGTTGGCAGCTTCCACCCATCCTGTTCTGGTCAGGTGCAGAGACAAAGGATGAACTTGGCTTTCTAGAAAGGAATGTTGTTATGGCTACGTATCATCTAACTCCCAATAGAAAATGCACAGTAGAATAATAGAAAGCGTGGCAGGCCGAAGATCCAAAAGAAAAAAATGGCTGCGGGCCTGACACCGGTGGCTTGTGCTGACGGGGGTTATTGGCAGGAGTCTTGTTGCTTTCTTGATTAAATGATGGTTTATTGTTAGTCTGTTTGCAACGGTAACTCCTTGATTTGGTGTATTGATCTCGGTGTTAATCTCTGCTCATCGAGGTGGCAATTGCTGGTGAGGAGGTGTTTATATATCTGTGTTTATTTCAAATGGGACTTACAGGGGGTCCTTGATTTACAACAGTTCAGTTAGGTACTGTTCGAAGTTACGACGGCACCGGAAAAAGGGGGGGCTCACGGCCGTTTTTCACATTTTACAACATCCTCGCCGTTCTGTGATCAGAATTCCGCCTCGTGTTAGATTGAAACGCGACTTGGAAACACAACCACAAGCCTACTTTTTAAGGAGCTGCATGTCCCCTTCCCTCTCCTGTTTTATTTTTTCCCTTTCCAGTTGGGGGTTGTCGTGCCCCCCCAGGCGCTGACTCTCCCCGAAGAACCCATCACCAGCCTGGGTAGCTACTGGTGCGAAGTTACGGTAAGCTCTCTTTAAGTTTCACTGTTTTCTTGCATTTCACGACCCAGCTAGGTAACGCCATCAGTGCCGGAGGGGAAGGGATGGGAGGAAGGAGGAGGAGGAGGACTGTGGGGTCCTGGCTGCTCCCCCAAACTTGGTGCTTTTCTTGCAGACAGCCAGATTAGCACGGATAGCGTTGCCTAGTTCGGTAATGAAAGGTTTGCAAGAAAATCAAGAGAAACATTGCCTTTTTTTTCCTCTTCCCCTCCCTGGCTTCCACACCTGCCCAGGTAGGCAGAATGGAGCATCGGGGAGGGGGGGGCACCCCGAGGCTTTAAAAAGCCTGCCCCACTTTCTCAAAAAGAGGACGGCGAAACTCTTAACGCCCCCCCTCCTGTCCAACAGAGCGTTGAGTTTTCGTAGTAGGAGCTCCCCTTCGCTGACCGGATTCCCTTCTGGGCCTCCCTACCCCCTTCTCTTCCCTCCCTCCCGCCTCGCAGGTCAACAGCCTCGACACCGTCCGCATCCCCCTCTCGGTGCAGCCGTTTGCCGAGCCAAAAACCAACAGCCAGCGGCTTCGGCTGGCCCAGAAGGAACCGGAAGGCGCCGGCGGAGAAGCGGGACGACTTTGAGGTGCGTCCACTGAAGGAGGGACTTTTCTCCGCGGCGCTAAAACCGGAGCTTAGGATATATATTTTTTTTCTAGACAAAAACTCCTTTTTGGGGGGGGGGATTTCCTTCAGCTGGACACGGTGGGTGAAGCCGGCCGCTTTTTCATGCCTCTTAAACCTCAGGGGCATTGGGGGGGGGGGCGAGGGGGTGATCAGGCCAGAAGCGGCCCGCGAACGCAGGCACCAGTGAATAAAACCTCCACTTCTTAACCGTTGCTTTTTCGTGGCGATGTCGCACACCGCACGCACCTACTCGCTGGAGCTAAGCCGGGACGGCCCGCGTGCCAGAGATTCGCCACCCCGGCCTTAACGCTTGAAGCGGCGCTAATTATTCGGCTAAATTCTTCTAACTCGGTTGCAAAAAAGAAGAAGAAGAAGGCCATTCCCACCCCAGGAAGAGTTTTTCCCCACACAGAGGCCTGGATCTGAACTCGGGACAGGAAGATGCTGCAACAGAGATAGTGAAAAGGACTTTGGGGGGGGGGGAGGGAGGCGGAAGGCGGTCTCTGTTCGTCTTCACTGCCTCTTTCTTAGCCTGGCTGCCCCGCACCCTGGCGCGGCAGGCTCCTTGCGGGAAAGAACGGGGCCGCGTCCCGGAACGTCCCGTTTGCGACAATCATCCAGACGATTCGCTGGTGTGGCGCATTAAGAGTCCCGTCTCGGCCTCGACTGGAACAACCTGCCCCGATGTCCTGTCTCTCTTGGCACCGCGATGGGTCTGCTTCCCGTTAATTTATGCCCACCCATGCCTCTCTGACTCTCCCCCCCCCCAAGGGAACACGACGATGCCAGGCCCTTCCGAAGCGCCAACACTCCGAAAATCACCCGCCTTGCGTCGTCTCTCCTCCGTCGGGGAAGATAACGGGAAAAGTTTGCCCGCCAACCCCCACTCCACCCACCCACCCCGCTCTTAAGAGCAGAGGAGGGACGGCTGCCAAGAATCTCATTAGGCCCCTACGTGAGGATGCTGGAGGAAGGGAAAAGGGGAGGGGGGTCCGTCCGGGATGCACCGGCGGAGCAGGGCATGAATATTCACGCCGAGCTGCGTCTGCTGCAGAAGCGCCATCCATTACGGGCGGCTTGACGTCCCACCTTATCAAGGTGACTGCTGAGATAATGTCGGAAGAGCTTGCCAGCCCTGGGGGGGGGGGGGGGACGGGGACTGCGGGCACGGCAGCCCTGGACGTTCGCAAAAGGGGCCTTTGAGTTGAAGTGGTCTGCGAGGAAGGGGAGGTGGAAANGAGAGAGAGAGAGAGAGAGAGAGAGAGAGAGAGAGAGGGATTTACTGTTTCCAATAGTAAGAATTACACTGTATGATTATAATGATTTCAGAGTTAACTGAATTCTTGAAAGTTGGTGAGAACAAACATGATATATGCTGGCTAACATTTAGTCTATAACACACATTCTTGAGTTGTACTTTAATTTGCAGAAAGAAGAGAAAGAACACGCAGAGACAAAGAATACCTTAACTATAACATCTGAACGCCTGCAGTTTGCCCTAGGAGAGATTGATATTTTATCAAAACAACTTGAGTGGGAGAAACAAGCATTTGAAAAGGCGTAAGCTTGAAACCTATGAATAGAAGTGGTTTTATAGTTTGTCTGGGGTAAATTATTTCACTCTCCTTAAATTAGTCATCACATAGTTTTATCTTAGAGGAGCGAACCCCTTACCCTTCTCTCACCTTCTAATTCTTCTGGCAGCATCTGTGATCATCTAAATGCTGGGAAAAACAAAAGCCAAAGATATGCAAAGTTAGTGTCACTTCAGTCACTGGTTTCAATAAAATTAAGCATAGTTAGTTGCATTAAATGAAATACTATTTATTTTTTGAAATATTACCAGCAGATTTAAAATTTACAATGAAGTTCTGGAATGTGGAATGTTGTTGGCTAATATTAAGATTAGATTAGGAATCCCGAAACTCTTCAGCTCACCAACCTTTCCATGATGTATCAGCTTGTTTATTGACTGCCCACCCCAAATATTTATTGTATGAAAATAATTTAATAAACGGTATCTTAAATAATAGTTCTGTGAATAATAATACTAATTGCACAGTAATGAATAGTCGCTATTGACCGCTTTGAAAAAGATTTTATTAAACCAGACTTGTTGGCAATCTCTTTCTGGATTCTGCCATTGGGCAATGCCCACATTAGGAGCCACATATTAGAAAAATAAATTCATTACAACTACATACAATAATACTGAATACTACAAATAACTCCATGTGAACTTGAATCAGTGGTGGGTTCCTACCGGTTCGGACTGGTTCGGCCGAACTGTTAGTGCTGACTGCAAGCCGAGAGCGAACCGGTTCTCTGTATCCGTGAAAGTATGTAGCCCGCCCGCCCCTGGGTTATACTGACCTTTATTTCTGCTTCCGAAGCCCAGCTGATCAGTGGCATCAGATTGAATTGCCACTGCTCAGCTGGTATCCTTGTTCCTTTTCTTGTTTGCAATGCGGAAGTCCCAAATTTTGCTAAACTGCGCACCCTTGCGCGGTGAAGCGCACGTGAAGTGTACCGGTTGTGCACCGGGTAGGAACCCACCCCTAATTTGAATCAGTGCAATATTATATTGTACATATAAAATACATATTGCATATATAAAATAAATTGCAAAAGTTTAAAGGGAATCCAGGACCAAGAGTGGCCCTGCTCACAATAACTCCCGTAGTTAGTGGATCTGGCTATTTGAGAGACCGCCTTCTGCCAATTACCTCCCTGCGTCCCATCAGATCGCATAGAGTTGGCCTCCTCCGTATTCCATCCGCCAGTCAGTGCCGACTGGCGACTACTCGGAGGA